GAGGTGTGTAAGGAAGTGTCCCATGCTTAGTAATATGTATGTATGAACCAAGCCAGATACTGTCTCCAGAATTCCAATTACAGTAACAGTGTAAGCACACAGGAGAGGTTAGACTCCCTGCTTGCACTAACCACCTGTTTGTTCTGACTGGATAATAAAACTAATCATGGAGCAACATATGCTTTTATGCATGCTCAGCCTATAAGTGTGACTTCTCAAAGCACCACACCTCAAGCAAAGATAGGTCAACTCACAAGGAAAGAAACAACCAGATCAAAAGCAAGTTGGGACTTTGCTGATTTCATAACATGATTCAAGTCAAATTTTCAGATGTGGTTAAGTCTTGTTCAGAAGAGACAGAGGCACTCGAGTCTCACTTATTACAAGGCAATAACACTCAAGTGCCTGGGTTACTACATGCTCTTGAAAACGTTACCTATAATCTGTGTTGTGATTGTCAGCAATGCTACCTGGTCACAATGCCAGTTTGTAATTCAGGTGTACTAGTGTAATGTTAGTCTTAGAATGGAAAACAGCCCAAATTGGAGGTGGAACAGCCCCCTCCCACTTCTGGTTGACCATGAGTTGCTCTATTTTTGAACACATCATACACATGCCATAGATAACTGAAGCAACAACTGAAATGGAAGACACCTTTACCCTTATTTTGCTCAAAAGAGGAACTAAGGTATGTAAACTGACATAGAAGGAAACAAACTTTGCATGTTGAAGTAGAGCCAAGTGTAAAAAATTCATCAGAAAACCTGAATGGTGGAGGGTGGACATAGATTGTTACCAGTATACAAACCAGCCTCTTAATCCAGCACCACAAATGGGAAGAAGTCTATGGAGGCTTCTGTCTCTCTAGTATTGCTGGGGCCAATTGGTTAATTTCTGATTAATCTTCATTTCATTTTTGTTGAAAGACTTATTTGTTGCTACATTTCAGTTGTGCTGGGGATGGGATCCTAGCACAAAGTGACTAAAGCTGGCTTGGTTGGCCATGGGACTGTTTTCAGTGGGATGGAAATGAGTAGCAACTCTTATGCCAGTCCATTTTCCGTTTCTACAATGGGGAGCTGCAATGTCCCAGAGCCATGCACAGATGGTTTCAGGTCTACAACCGCCTTTGTATCCCCCTCAGCTTCTTTTTCCGCTGTGTACATTTAGGTGGAGGGATCGGTAACTGTGGGGTGGAGATGGAAAGGCATATTGAAAAAGAGAAGATGTAGGTCTTCAATTTTTGTATAATTTCTATGCTGTGTCAGTGTTATTGTAAGGCATTGGGAAATTGTAAATCTAGCAATAGAATTTGATTTAAAAATATTGTAAGTATAATGCTTTGTATGGAAGCGTAAAGGAACATAAGTTTTGCTTGGCTTAGTCAGCATTAAGTAACATGAAATGTCTGACCTGAAACAGTAAATGTCTGACAGGGGCATTCAAGCAATTTGATATTTCTCTGTGCTTCCAAAATTGATTTTTTTCTACTGTTTTCCTTAAGTCGATTCAGAAATCTTTCCTATTCACTAATGATACTGAAATGTTCAGTGCATGTCAATACCTTCAACCTGACATACTGAAAGGCCACAGATTCCCAAACTCACTCCTAGGCTGGTCTCTATTTTAATAGAAATTGTGCACCTGACCTACCTCCTGTTTACTTGTAGAAGTAACACCAGGGAATGTAGGTATTTTAGCTGCAAACAAGGTGGCAAAGCCAGTGCCATGTAATGCTAGCTAAGACTCTTGCCACTAGTTTTGTTTGTTTTGGCCTTTTGGATTAACAAACAAAACCTTCTGTAAGAGGTGCTCTTTAAATATCAAAAAGCCTGCTTAGGCTTATTAATCCAGCCTGGGTGGAGAGGGAGAGGGAGGCAGGTCATGCTGCCACAACTGATCACAAAAGGGGTGCACCAAGGCAGCCTACACTAGAACAGCTTTTACAGAAATAACGAACACCCACTGAGGAAACGCTATTGAATGTAAGCCACTGCATATCAATAAATGGAAAGTAAAAGCAATTCACGTTAGTGGTTTCCTATGTATAGTTTTTCAATCTTGTCCCTATTAGTCATTCTGTTTCTATTTACTGCTGCTTTTATCAATAACCAATGTCTTGTAATAAAGAGAACTTTTATCTAAGATAGCATTACAAAATAATAGGTTTCAGTTTTTGAAAATTCAGTACAAAATCTGAGCTATATGCTTCTACAACTCTGGCAAAGACTACTGTTCAATTTCCACAAATAGTTACACAACTTCAATTTTCTCCTGCATTATTTTCTGGCATTTTCCTTGGAGGAAAAAAAAAATCCCCTCTAAGTGATTCAAAAGTGTGTGGAATTCACATGCCTTCTCCTCTTTGCCATTACCTTTAGAACCAAAAGATCAATGTATAACAAACACATATGCTGACCTGCAAATGAAGCTTTGTCATCATAGCTAATCCAAAGTACTTCTCTGATAGTAGGAACTGCAACAACTGTTTGGTTTCAGTAAATCCTTTCTGCATAAGTTGCTTATAATAGTGTCCACCAAGCTAAAGCAAGAAGGGATCATCATTCCAGAAATGCATCCAGGATGGGAGCTTCCACAAAATATACTGCATGCAATGTTACTACTTAACAGTCTAATCTCAAATAGTCAAAATGGCAACTCTTCCCTACTTGACTCTCTGGTAATGACAAAAGGCAAGCATAACCACCCTCAGAGACATGTCGGAAGAAAATAAGATCCCACTGTCTGTTGTATCTGAAGGACATCAGAGACCAAAAAGGTATATTGACTATCACTAGACAGATCATGATCCAGCTACTATTTGTGTGTTCTGTCCTTGTTCTCTACATCAGTTTAATAGCTCTGCAGAGAACAAATCCTCAAAGTGATTTTTTGGCTCTGAGGATAACATGCCCTACTAACAGGAATATTTTGAAACTAAATCTAACCACAGGAATTTGCAGCTTCAGAAAATTTCTCCCAAGAGCTATAGCACTCTTGCTAGATCGCTATAGCACATCTTCTTCCCACCAAGGCCTCAGTTCAGAAAAGCATACTTATTAGGGATGTAAGAGTTAAACTGGTTAACTGATACGCTGATGCTTACTGGTTACCTTTATCTGTTAAACTTACATGAACTGGTAGCCCCATGGTTAACCACATAACTGAAATAATTTATCAGTTACATAATTAATATTTTTATACATTTTACTTCCATAATCTCTATACAGGATGGCAGTTAAGCAAAAACAGATATTTAAATTAAGCATAAAGTTCTTTCCTGAATGAAGTCGATGTTGCAGTGAGGAGGTGTGATGCTTAGTATGGGAAGCCAGACTTGTGGTAACTCAGCTTGAACTAACATTAAAAATAGTAGTCTGAACACTGCACCTATGGCTTTGGCTCAGGCTAATCATCAGAGTTCACGCCTACCTGATGCCTTTGGTCCAAGCTAGGAATGTAATAGTGTAGTCAATTAATGGATAAGCAAAAGCTTATAGGTTAATGGTATAGACTATATGCATCTCTCTCACCAGTAATTTTTTTTTTTAGGAGGATGGCCAACAGCCTCTCTCAGTCCTGGCTTGTGAAGAGTCCAGGGCCTACCCCCGCTGTGGCTCAGCATTTAAGAGGTGACAGGTAGTTCATGAGGGGAACTGGGTCTGGGACTTATCACCTCCCAGACCAGCTCCTGCCTGGCACCCCATGCTGCTGCGTCTGATACAGAGGCAGCAGTGTGGAGAGGGCAGGCGGTGCCTCGGAAATGGGGCCGGATTGCACTGGCTGCCAGCCCCAGCCCCCACAAACTACAGAATAGTCGAGTAACCAATAAGAATTTGAGGTTACTCGACTATTCAATTAACCGATATATAACATCCTTAGTCCAACCTACTGGCAGTGTCACACCCTCAAGATGAAGAAGCCTGAGAAATTGCATTGGGCATCACATCTCTAAAGAGCCATGCAGACAAGTGGTAGGTCATAAAGAATGTTATGATAATCAGAACTCAAAAGATTGGCAGTAGGGATGTCAATGGTTAACTGATAAGCATCACCCTTATAGGGTGTTGCTTACCAGTTAGCCAGAGCAGTCTCTGGCCCACCAAATGAGTACTATACTAACTCCTAATAATAATCAACAATTTAGATATTGGCAAAGAAAATATGCTTATTAAGTCTGCAGATGATACCAAGCTGGGAGGGGTTGCGACTGCTCTGGAGGATAGGGTCATAATTCAAAATGATCTAGAAAAATTGGAGAAATGGTCTGAGGTAAACAGGATGAAGTTTAATAAAGACAAATGCAAAGTGCTCCACTTAGGAAGGAACAATCAGTTTCACACATACAGAATGGGAAATGAGTGTCTAGGAAGGAGTATGGCAGAAAAGGATCTAGGAGTTATAGTGGACCATAAGCTGAATATGAGTCAGTAGTGTGATGCTGTTGCAAAAAAAAGCAAACATGATTCTGGGATACATTAACAGGTGTGTTGTGAGCAAGACACAAGAAGTCATTCTTCCGCTCTACTCTGTGCTGGTTAGGCCTTAGTTGGAGTATTGTGTCCAGTTCTGGGCACCGCATTTCAAGAAAGATGTGGAGAAATTGGAGAGGGTCCAGAGGAGATCAACAAGAATGATTAAAGGTCTAGAGAACATGATCTATGAAGGAAGGTTGAAAGAATTGGGTTTGGTTAGTTTAGAAAAGAGAAGACTGAGTGGGGAACATGATAGCAGTTTTCAGGTATTTAAAAGGGTGTCATGAGGAGGAGGGAGAAAACTTGTTCATCTTGGCCTCTGAGGATAGAACAAGAAGCAATGGGCTTAAACTGCAGCAAGGGAGGTTTAGGTTGGACATTAGGAAAAAGTTCCTAACTGTCAGGGTAGTCAAACACTGGAATAAATTGCCCAGGGAGGTTGTGGAATCTCCATCTCTGGAGATATTTAAGAGTAGGTTAGATAAATGTCTATCAGGGATGATCTAGACAATATTTGGTCCTGCCATGAGGGCAAGGGACAGGACTTAATGACCGCTCGAGGTCCCTTCCAATCCTAGTATTCTACAATTGTATGATAATAATGGTTTTGATTTGATAAAAATAGGTACATTTCATATGATGCACTCTTCTTCATTTACTGATAATTGATAAGTGAGAGTAAAAAACTAAATGGAGCTGTCAGAGTTAGGTCTTTATCCAGCCCCAAAAGGAATATCTTAAAAAAAATAATTATAAGATTAATCATGGGGTGGCTATTAAAAAAAGTAATGGTACACTCCTTTTTTATTCAAAAGTTATCAATTTTAAAATCTATTCTGCCACAGGCTCTGGCACTATTTGTTCATTGGACAAAATACACCTAAAGAGTGTAAAAATATTTATTCAACCTAATCCAATGTGGTTATAATGAATACTAAAAACAAGATTTTACAATACAGCAACAAAAGAAGTAACTCTCTATTACTACATTTAAACTAAGTTTAAATTATTTTATACTCTTCACAGTACTTTTGTAATCTGATGTACAACAGCTTCCATTTTCAAAGAAGATTATTAGCCTTCCTATGGAACAAAATATCAAAACAATGATTTGCACTATTAAATTCTGAATGAGACTTTTAAAAAATGGTTACAAAGTGGTTGGAAATCTGTACAGTGAAGACCACTAAAAAGCTCTCTCCTTGCACTGAGGAATTCTGCAAGAAATATGTATTACATTGTTTAAAGACTTATATTACAGAAATCAGCACCTTTCAGAGGCTGCTGCTATGTATGTAAATATATAAAAAAGTCAGACCAATCTTTGAGACCAATATAATCAGCAGACTTACAAGATTATAGTAATTTATCAATTTTAGCAAGAATCTCAAAAGTATCAGCTATGCATGTATCATTTTCAACTATAGTTTGTGACTACTAGTTGGCCATTGTATATACTTTTTATACATTTATTACACTCGATATTTAAGGTAACACATAAAAATGTACCATATTTTAAGTGTCACTAACATACATTATTGCAATCAGACATGAAGTCCACTTTATTGTTGCTTCATTTGTAGTGAAAAGCAACATTTACTTACCAATATTTCACTATGGGGAAACGCTTACCCTTTTCCATGCATTTCACATACTATCATGAATTAAAAAAAATAGGAAACAACCAAGAATAAGAACATTTAAAAATCATTAAGTTGTTATGCATTAAGAACAGCAATTATTGTAAATCTGGGCTAAGTCTTGCATTAACATGAAATGGCCACTTTGTGAAGCAGGACTCAGAATTAACACTAACACTAGGACAGTAACTGCTATTTCCACTGAAAAATGTGGATTTAAAAAAGTAAAATTACTGATTTAAGTGCTGGTCTCTCCCTTTGACAGGCCAGTAAAAAACTGCATTTTTACAACAGGATTTTACTGTTGCAATTACCTTATTTATTAGAGAATTAAGTTTTATCTTCTGTACACTGACAGATCAGACTGAAGTCACTATCCAATGCTCTTTTTCTAATGTCTGCTACTATTTATTTAAATAGTTAATTGAATAATGAGATAGGAACTCAATATACAATTTATTATTACTAAACAACTGTTCTAATTACAAAAGTAAGTGACTGAAATGCACTTTCCCAGATAATTTCTCTATAGGTGGATGAAATAACAACAGTTACAAGACAGCAAATGAGCCATGACATAGCAATACTAGGCTCTGCGGACAATACAATTAGATAGTAGCAAAATTAGCTGGAAACCATGTACTAATTCATACTCTAGGTGGGCAGAGTTGACTTATGTGGACCTTCAGAAAACCATCAGTCTTTTGCTTGTCTATCCAATGTTTTGTATACATTTTAGGCCTCCTGTTTTACATCTCTTGCTGAGCTTCAGCTGTGAACAAAAGAATACTTATTGGCTAAAATCCAAGAAAAATATATCCATGGTAAAATGCTACTCAAACAACACTTCTTTAAAAAAAAAAATTCCTCCATGGTATTCTTAAGTGTTGAACGGGATGATCTGTGTATGAAATATCTATGTTGATACTTCATTAAGCATACAAAAATGGGAATTGGATACAATTTGTAAACTGAAGAGTAACTGCACAATTTGATTTAAAAAAAAAATCAGCATATGTAGTATTAAGGAAATTATTCAGATCCCAGCCTGTCATGAAGGAAATACACAAAAATGAAAACAAATCACATTCTTAGGTTCAGTGATTACTGAGTGAATTTACCCTGCCACATGAAAGTGCTTTATTATATTAGAGGAAAAAAAATAGGAGCAGCAACTTATCACAATTCTCCACTACTGTGCAATAATGATAGAATGTATACAAGAAAATCTGGTAGATGAGATTGTATGACAGCTGGAGATCACAGTCTTATGCTCCTTCTTGCTCAGGGTAATTTAAAATTTTGCGGTGAGCTTGACGTAAATATTGCTGCTGTTTGAAGTAAACTTTAAAAGCTCCTTTTATAGCAACAAAAGCAATTCCACCCTGAAATAAAAAGAACATTTTAAAAACTTACAGAATAAGTTCAGTATCACATCTTCTCTCAGTTCTAGCTTTTTTTTAAAAAAAAAGTATTTCCTCTGAAGTTAGGCTAACTAACAAATGAATATTGGAGGCAAATTTTCTGTCACAATAGAGTATTATAGATGTAGCGATGTTACATTTAGATTAATCAACTAATCAAATAGTCGATGGAATTAGCATTGATATGAAATTAGTCGGTAAGGGTGCCTCTGCCTTTGAAATGTATCAAGAGCCCTGCTGGCTCCTGCTACATTTCAAATGCGGGAGTGCTGCATGGAGCACGGGCCCAGTGGGGGATTGCTTGAATCCCCCACTGGCCCCATGCTTCCTATGGTGCTTCTGCTTTTGAAATGTAGCAAGAGCTTTGCCCTTGCTACATTTCAAAGGCAGAAGCGCTGCCAGTACCCCCCTACACTCCTGCCCACCCCTTTTTAAAACCGGCTCCCCCCAGCACTGGTTCCTGCCCGCCCCCTTGCTTTGCCTCTCTCTGATAGAGGCAGCAAGAGTGGGGGGAAGCAACTAGTCAAGTCGCTAGTCGACTATCCTATACGCATGTGCTTATCAGATAGTTGACTAGTCACTTACATCCCTATATAGATGTCCATGTTACATAAAAGGGTTACATGCTAAGTTTATAAATAATTCTGAAAGCTCTTATCCATTTACGTTTTGGCCAAAAAAATTACACCTCAATCATATTAAAGAATAAAAATGAGATTTTTCCCTAGAATATTATACACACCACACAAACACACTAATTGCCAATCCCACTAAAAATTAATCATAACTTGAAAAATCCTACGAAAAAACGCAAGTCAAATACTATTCTAAATTCTACTTCTGTGCATGCTCCTTTTCTGCTCTCTCAGAATCTTTACTACAACTCCTTATATCATTATTATTACCATTTCTGAAAAACAAACTCTGTAAATCATCTTACCAGGATTGTCCTTTGTAAATTAGAATTAACACTGCTGAACATCAGCTTGCCAACTATAGTGGCAATAGTTGGAAATACAAGAGCTCCGCACAGAATACGAGTAGCAGAGACATGGTCTGCTAGAGGGTTGGCCTCAGCTGGAATACGAGGAACAGGACACCCAATACCTAGAGAGAAATCATATTGCCAACAAGTTGAAAAAGATTTAAAAGTCTGTTTTCATTATGAATCTAACCTTTCAAGTTTTCTACAATTTAACAATTTTATTAAGCATTCCTCTCTCCAGGAAAATGTTCTGTTTTTATTAAATAAATAAATAAATTAAATTAAATAATGTTTATGAATCAACTTTTGGCTTCTTGCACTAAACTTTTGTTTACAGTTCTTTTAATATTTGCACTGAAGTAGGGCACAGAAGTCTCAACAGAGCTCGAAGCCCTATTGAACTAGGCACTGTGGAATTACATAGTGAGATAGACACTGCACTTAACAGCATATAATCAAAATAAACTAAACAAAGCGTCAGAGGAAAGGGAGGATTGTTATCCCCATTACAGATAGAGAAACTGCCCTCTACACCCCACCTCGCATAGGCACAGCACAGACTTCATATTTCATTTAGATTTAATTGCATTACCTGGAAATATACTATTCAGAATTTGCAGTTTGTTAGAATATTTGCGCCATAGTCTGAGCACATAGTCTTCCCAGCGAATCATCTTCCCCAATATTAGCATGACTGGGATGGTGGGAAGTCCAATCAAAAGAAACAAAGGATCAGCTCTCTCCATGACATCAAGACCTTCTTTATGACCTACAACCTGTGAAATGTTCAAAAAGTTTTAGTGTCTCATGGCTATTGTACAGTGGACATATTTGAAGGATTTACAATAATTCCTCATTTAACGTGCCCGCTTCACACGTTTTTGTGATAGCACGATTTTTTTTTAGAGAACGTTTTTTGAATTACATGACTGTCCCCAGAACAACACGATTTCCCCATCCGGTCCGTCGCCGGCAGCTGTGTGGGGCTTCCCCCGCCTCCCTGCAAAGCAGTGGAGGGTTCGCTACGCACTGTGCTGTCCCCCGGCGACACTCCTCCCCCCCCTTGCTGAATGCAGTGCAGGTCCCGACAGATCTGTCACAGGTGCATACACCGAACCCAATCTCCCTCTCCTTCCCTCCCCCAGAGCCAAACACCTCTCCCTGCTGTAACCCAGTCCTCTTTCTCCCCCAACCTTATGTCCAGCTCCCAACAGACACCACTGCTTGAAACGACAACCCCCACCTTTTCCATTATTTTCAATGGGAAAATTGACCCCGCATAACACGTTTTCACTTAACATGATCATTTTCTGAAACATATCTATAGTGTTAAATGAGGAATTACTATATATTTGAAAGATTTTATTGAGTTGTATCAAACTGTCCAGGCACCTAAACTAATCTTATTACATTTTACCTGATACTTAAATTTCTCATGTGGTGTCTTTCACTGCTTATTAAATTTGCTGTTGGAGAGTTTCTAGTTCCAGATTTTGCCTCACTCATCTTGCATTAGTGAGTCATTACATAATTAACTCCTCCTTAGCCAGATGTGCCCCTCCTACATACTCTTAGTGATGTTACATATAAATAACCTAAGTGTGCTATTTGAGATATTTTAAAGCTACCTTATAGTACAATCGCATCTTTTCTAAAATCCTCAGAGGCCACAAAACTTTGCAGAAATTAATTTTAATTCTGGTATTAAAAACTGCTCAGCAGCTATGATTTAAGAATACAAATAAATAGCAGAATTTTCTGATTAATGAACAGAGATACTTACTATTTAGAAGTAGAGCATGGAAGAATGCTCTTGTAATGTGCATTCCTTCTCCAGGTATCATAAGATCTATTTTCCCATTATGCCATACCAGCTTCAAATGAACCTTTTTAAAACTAAGGTTAACGTCCAATACCATGCAATACAAACAGCAATTATACTTTTATTCTGTATGCTACATACAGAATAAAATAAAAGATTTATTTTTACTTGGAATTGGTAATTTTATTATTGAATGATTTAAGATAATTTCTTAGTGAAACAATAAAAGTCAGTTACCTGTTTCATAACTGGTGTTCTTAGAGATGTGTTGTTCATGCCCGTTCCATGCTAGGTATGTGTGCTTACCACATGCATTGGTGCCAGAAGTTTTCCCCTCAGTGGCAGTCATAGAAGACCTGCTCTGGCACCCCTTGTTGTGGCACCTGTATGGCTCCCCCCACCCTCAGTTCCTTCTTGCTAGAAATTCCAACAGTGGGGAAGGAGGGCGGATCATGGAACGGAGAGGAGCAACACATCTCAAAGAACACCAGTTACAAAACAGGTAACTGATTTTTCTTTGAGTACTTGCTCATGTCTATTCCATATTAGCTGACTCCCAATGGAAGCAGGTATGACTTTGTGAATCTGCAGCTTGTAGCACTGCTCTGCTGAATCCAGTGTCCTCTCTGGCCTGCTGTGTGATGGCATAATGTGCTGTTAACGTCTATACTGAGTACCATGTCACAAGTCTACAGCTGTCCTGGATGGGCCAGGAAGAGTGCCAGGAAGGTTGCTGAGGACACCTATGCTCTTTTTGAATGGGGTTTTTACCAGAAACAACAGCGGAACCTCTGCTAGCTCATAACCAATCCCGATGAAGTACATAATCCAAGTGGACATTCTTTGAAAGGAGACTGGGAGACCCTTCAACCATTATGATGAAGAGCTGTGATGAGTTAAGAAAAGGGTTGGTTCACTCTTGGTAGAAAGTCAACACACGGCAGGCATTTAGCGTGTGTAAGCACCTCCCTTTGTTAGAGTTGTGTGTCATGGGGTGCAAAACACTGGTAGGAAGATGTCCTGATTAACATGGAAAGAAAGCACCACCCTCAAAAGACAGGCCAGACCAGGTGCACCTTATCCTTATAAAAGGCCGAATTCTGAGGTCAGTACTTTAATTTCCAATACTTGCCTGACTGGACTAGTAGTTTCCTAACAATTATATACAGTGTATGGTAAGTTCATAATGAAAAGACTGGAGTAGGGAACTTTGCTAGAGCAAAGGAATGTTCCAACACCATCATTAGCAGTAAGAAGGAACTGAGAGTAAGAGGAGCCAATGGTACACCAGAGCCAGACCCTACGGATACCACTGACGGGAAAACTTCTGGCACTTGAGCATGGGGTGAGCACACACTTAACATAGAATGGACATGAACAAGCACTCAAAGAAAAATTTGATTTTTTCAGTACTAAAACTACAAGTAAGGTCACACTTAAGCCTCATGGTAAACTGATTAGCAATACATATACTTTCAGCAAACTGTTACTCTTAAACAAGGCTAGTTGGCTTGTATTTAATGTCCTGCATTTTAACTGGTGTGGGTTAAGACCAGCCAAGCCAATTGTCAGACTAAGTACTTTCATCAAGGGCAGTATGGGACCAGGAAGAGAACTGGCAACATGTAACTTCTAGAAGGGAAAAAAGGCCAGCACAGGAATCCCCCAATGCTATAGAGGTAAGTAATTGCTTTCAGGCTCTCTCCACAGGCTCTGCAGTGGTGAATGCTTTGGACAGGACCTCACAAGGAAGAAACCACAAGGGAACATCATCTACTGGAAGGCATGGGAAGCGTAGTCCTAGGGATGGGGGTTCTTAACTGTGCACTTGTCCTTGTTCAACCTCTTTCTTGTGTCCCAATCCTCCAGTTTGTCTAAGTCACTCTGGACCTTATCTCTGCCCTCAAGCATATCTACCTCTCCTCCTAGCGTAGTGTCATCTGCAAACATGCTGAGGGTGCAATCCATCCCCTCATCCAGGTCATTAATAAAGATATTGAACAAAACCGGTCCTAGAACCGAACCTTGGGGCACTCCGCTAGAAACCGACTGCCATCCTGACATCGAGCCATTGATCACTACCCGCTAGGCCCGGCCTTCTAGCCATCTTTCTATCCATCTTACCGTCCATTTATGCAATCCACATTCCCTTAACTTGCTGGCAAGAATATTGTGGGAGACCGTATAAAAAGCCTTGCTAAAGTCAGGGTATATAACATCCACTGACTTCCCCATGTCCACCGAGCCAGTTACCTCATCATTTGATACGGTCTCGCATGATATTCTTATTGATATATTTGCCTAGTTTAACTTAGATAGGGCCACGATAAGGTGGGTGCATAATTGGCTGGATAACCGTAGTCAGAGAGTTGTTGTTAACGGTGCTAAATCCTGCTGGAAAGAGATAACAAGTGGAGTTCCGCAAGGGTCTATTTTGGGACCCGTACGTTCAATATCTTCATCAATGATGTAGATATTGGGATAGAGAGTATGCTTATTAAGTTTGCAGATGATACCAAACTGGGTGGGGTTGCAACTTCTTTGGAGGATAGGGACATAATTCAAAATGACCTTAGCAAGTTAGAGAAATGGTCAGAGGTAAACAGAATGAG